CAATAAAGACATGGGCTGAGGTTGGCCATGTTCCATAGATACCCACTGACCTTGAGATGAAAGAGAGAAAAGGAAGCACTAGCTGTTCTTAAGTTTAGGGAGGTGTGTGTATTCCTGAGTTCACAGACAATGACCTCACCAGTGAATGCTAGAGCTGAGAGTGAAGTGGCCAGCTGGTCTGAAGGTGGCGGGGAGGCATACAAGAACTCCCAAACTTGCAGATAGAACCTATTTGACATAGCTTGGATAGCTAGCTGATCAGATCTCAACCAGATGAAGACAAGGAAGTTTGATTCAGGAGCAAGTATAAATTGCTACAATTTGATGAACTGCACCTTTGCTTATGGATGTAGCTGCTCAAAATTCCAACCAAAAGGGAAGGACTCTTCATATCAAGAATCAAGCTTACCTCCTCAGTACATTGCGTTGATAGGGACGGGCAATTTAGACATTGGTTATCAAAAATGGGAGGCTATAAAGGCATGAAGTAGCTGGCTTACAAGCTTTCATGAGTGTACTTTGTTTCAGAAAGAAGAGGGTAAGGTATAATCCCCACTGAATATTTTCCTCTTTTGCAGATGGGTCTGGTGAAAGGGGATGGGAGAGAATATATGAGGATTTTACGATTTAATTGTGTGTAATTATTATCAGGACTAGTTGTGATTGTTGCAGCTGTAAATGTATACAATGTGAAATTTAAAGGGGGGAGTAGTTAATCTCCCTTTTCAGGAACAGAGGACCCTAGGACCAACAAGAGGGAAGAACATGAGTGGAACGTGGGATCCTAACCAGAAACGTGGTGACACCAGAGACAGTGGCAGAGGTGATGGCATAGAGCTGAGGACTCTAGGCCCCTGGACTGAGAAAGACTGTGTGCCTGCAGACAGGAGGCTGGGTTGCAAAGTGTGCCCTTCAGACATTTAAATGAATATGTATTTTCTGTTTCATACGTGTACATCAGGATAAAAAGGGGGGGAGGAATACAGGTAAATACTGTTGACTGATGGTACATGGAGGGGATTGTAATCATTCAATGAAACAAAATATGATTTATTGAATGTAAAACTGATAATTTGCCCTGTAAACTTTTACTCAATTCACAATAAAAACTTTTAAAAAACACAAAACACTACATAATAGGGAACTGCCAGAAATTCAAGCTGGATTCAGAAGAGGATATAGAACTAGGGATATCATTGCTGATGTCAGATGTTATCTTGGCTGAAAGCGGAGAGTACCAGAAAGATGTTGACTTGTGCTTTATTGACTATGTAAAGGTTTTCAACTGTGTGGATCATAACAAATGATGAGTAACATTGCTTAGAATGGGTAAGCTAGAACACTTCACTGTGTTCATGAAAACCTGTACATAAACCAAGAGGCAGTCGTTTGAACAGAACAAAAGGATGTGAAATGGTTTAAAATCAGGAAAAGTTTGTAGGGGGCTGTATCCTTTCACCATACTTTATTCTATATGTATGTTGAGCAAATAATCTGAGAAGCTGTGTTATATGAAGAAGAATGTAGCATCATGATTGGAGGAAGGCTCATTAACAACCTGTGAAATGCAGATGATATAAACTTGCTTGTGGGAAGCAAATATGCATATACAAGCTGGACAATGAATAAGGAAGACTGTAGAAGAAGTGATGCATTGAGTTATGGTGTTAGAGAAGAATATCAAAAGTACCCTGAATTGCCAGAATAACAAATAAATCTGTCTTGAAAAAAGTACAGCCAGAATGCTCCTTAGAAACCAAAACCTTGACACTTCATCCCTCATACTTTGGACATGTTATCAGGAGGGACCCGTCCCTGCAGAAGTGATATCATTCTTAGGGAAGACCTCCCAGAAACATGGATTGACACTGTGGCCACGGTCAGAAGTTTGGTTCCACCAGCTGCTCTAAGAATGATTGATGAAGCTTTCTGCTCTCATAAAGATTTACAGCCTCGGAAACCTTATACAGGGTTTCTATGAGTCAGAACCAATTCATTGGTAATAACAACAACAGAGGCAAGAATAATATACTTATATTATTTGAATAAAAGAGAATGATTTCACTTGGATTTGTCAATTCCTTAATGACAACTAAGAACAAAGACAGTGTGTAATTCCACAAAGATCAATGAGCTCTAAATTCAATACTGTTGTTACCAGGGTGGGTCATTGTTATTGCTTTGCAGAGTACCAGAAGCAGGATGAGGAGCTCTTGATAAATTCAACCTTAAACCAGAGACACAGAAAAGAAGACAGTGCCCCATAGGCATTCCTTTTATAGCTAGTGGTTAGGTAGTGTAGAGTTGGTTTCTACTCATAGCGATCTTAGTTAATGCTGTTATAAACTATGACTAAATTCTAACAATGGGATTGTTGTTGTTGAGTACCATGGAGTTGGTTCTAACTCAGAATAGGGTTCTGAAGCTTTAAATGTTTGCGGAAGCAAAAAGTCTCATCTTTTCCCCATGGAGTGGCTGGTGGGCTCAAATTGCTGACCTGTGGTTCAAAGTCCAGTGCTTATCGTATGGAATCACTGCACTTCAAGATTCTAACAATAAAATGTACATTTAAGCTTGAAACCAGTTTTCATAAAATGCCTCCTTTATTATTGTCAGGTGGCATAAGGGTTTGTTTCATTTTTTGAGAATCTATTGTTCCTAAACCTGCTAGAATGAAACTAGCTTTATGTCAGTGGCTTTTGGTACTTTATTTATCACTGTCTCTGTTAGAGATTCCTGTACAGATGGCAAACACAAAAAACCAACAGATTGCTGATTTTATTTTTAGGCTGCTGCTCTGGTTCACATCTACACAGATGGGTCTGTGTTGGTTGCTCATGGTGGAGTTGAATTAGGACAAGGTATTAACACCAAAATGATACAGGTGAGAGAGATTATTTCAGTTTTGCCTTTGGCTACAATTAAACTTCATAGAGGAGACCCAGACTCTGTATTGTTCAGTTCTTCTAACTTTGTGATGAAATGACCAGAATTGTCCACAAGTGTCCCCAGAGGTCACTCTGGATTACTTGGAAATGAGTTAGTTGGATCATTCTCTGGTGGTAGAGGCTACACCAAAACTTAGTTTCCTAAGGTACCAGTGGCTCCCTTCCTTCCTCTTCCCTCCCCTAGAGGGGCTGTCATTGTTTCTGGGCTCCAAAGCTCAGGAGCTGGGCAGTTGATGTTCTCAGGTAAGTCCTGAACATAATTAGTGTCCCAAATTTGGACTTCCTTGTTCCACACAAGCTGTTCATTCCTCCAGTAACAAGTCCACGTTCTCAAATTCAGCCTATAAAAAGGAGATCCACACTCTTGTGGAATATGGACCCATGTTCTTGTTCAGGAGGGTGTTCGGCCTCAGCAGGCCTCTCTGTAATTGATGAAAGGAGGGTGAATCTGTCTTTTCTCTCATCTTGCTAACACGTGGCTTTGTAAGATTTCCCCGACTCCCACCCTATAAAGTCTATTTATAAATCCATGCCATGTGGCAATATGGGATTTTTCCTGAACTCTAATAAATAACAGTTTTGGGAGATGGAGAAGAACTTCCATTTTAAGAAATGTGAAAAGTTTTGTTTTGCTTGCATGGTGGTGGTGGTGGTTATGTGCGTGGAGTTGGTTCCGACTCATAGCGACCCTGTGCAGGGTTTCTGAGGCTGTAAATCTTTACGGCCTGTGGAACAGCTGGTAGTTTTGAACTGCTGACTTTGAGGTTAGCAGCCTGATTCGTAACCACTATGTTACCAGAGCTCTTTATGTCTACCTAAACCACAGATTATGAATCTCCTTACCACTTTGTAAAGGCGGGGGTGGAGAGGGAAGTGTTTACTGATAGGTGTAAAGCATGTTTCCTTTGCAGGTGGCCAGCCATGAATTGAAAATTCCTATGTCTTACATTCACCTTGGCGAGATGAACACTGTGACAGTGCCCAACACAATAGCTACCGCGGCATCCACAAGCGCAGATGTCAATGGAAAAGCTGTGCAGGTGTGGTTGTCCTGATTCCCAAATGCCATTTAAACTTCAGATCCCTCTCCCAGAGAAGCCCCTCTACTCTGGTCTAGAGAATTCTTCATGATGCTTTTTCACATGGGCTTTGGACAAAAGAGAATAAAACATCATCTCATTCTGTCTCTCTGTTTTACACAAAATTGAGGAACTTGGAGCATAGTTTGTTGTTGTTGTTGTTGTTAAGTGCCATCGAGTTGGTTCCGACTCGTAGCAACCCTGTAGGGTTTCTGAGAAATGTCTGGTGAGTTTGAACCACCAACTTTGTGATTCAAACTAACCTTTTTGATCAAGTACTTATCCTATAGCACCACACCAGTATAATTTAGCATCATAAATTCTAATTTTCCTAAAATATAGTTTAAGAACACATTTTCAAGATCCTAACTTCCCAAAGGCAGGTAACATTGCCTCATTTCTGAAGCATTATTTTCAACATAGAATGTAATATGGCCCATTCATTCCCAGTCAGCCTTGGAAACCCACAGAAGAAAGGTAGCACAGGGGAAATCCTCAGATGGAGGATGTTGTATCTTGAGCTCTTTATTAGCAAGCAAGGAAGTAATTTCTTTGATGCCTTCAAATATAAATCGGCACCACTCCTATCCTTTTGCCATTTCACTCTCTACTCCCAAGCAGAATAAATACATAAAAGACCTCCTTAGTTGGGAACAAAGATGGTCCCAAACAACTCTCCCAATTGAATAGAAAGGAGTCTCGTTGAACCTAAGCTTCTGAGGACTTGAAGAAAAAAACTGCAATTTCCCACATGGAGAGGGGATTGAGCAAGACCTCCCTGGTTCAGACAACTGAACTTCAATGCCAATGCCAAAAGTAAATTACTCAATAACTTTGTAATCACCTGTGTATAAGCATTTCTTTAACAAAGCTTTATGAGCGTGACCTAGCATAACTTAAGTAATAATGAGCACTATAATTTTGTATTTAATCTTGAAAACAATCTTCAAGGTAGATATTACTTGTTGTTAATTACAGTTGAGTTGGTTCCAACTCATTAGTGACCCTGTATAAAGTTTCCAAGGCTATAAATATTTACAGAGGCAGAAAGCCTGATCTTTTTTCTGTGGAGAAGCTGGTGGGCTCGAACCACCAATCTTGTTCGCAGTCCAGTGCTTATCCTACAGTGCCACCAGTGTTCTAGATATTAATTAGTGTAAGCATAGCATCCAAAAGAAGCCCTGATGGTAGTATAAGATAAGTACCAGACTGCTAACCATGAGGTTGGCAGTTCAAACCCACTAGCCACTCCATGAGAGAGAAATGAGGCTATCTGTTCTTGTAAAGATTTGTAGCCTTGGAAATCAAATACGTTCGCCATGAGTTGGACTCGACTCATTGATTGTGGGGTGGATATCATCCAAATTGGGATACTTTTGTGAGTAAAAGAAACCACTAATGTGGCGCCATAGGATAATCAAGGTTGGCAGTTCAAATTCACCAGCCACCCATCAGAAACCCTATACAGGGTCGTTATGAGTCGGAACCAACTTAATGGCACTTAACAAGAGCAACATGTACAAAAGAATGAAACGTTGTCCAGAGCAGGAAGGAATGGTTAGTGCAGGGTAAGAAACATGGTTGCACTTGAATTCATTGGCATTCCTTTCCTTTTCCACCTGCAGAATGCCTGTCAGACCCTGATGGGACGCCTGGAACCCATCATCAGGCAGAATCCTCATGGCTCATGGGAAGACTGGGTGAGTACCAAGTATCTCTGAAGCCTGCAGAGCTCCCATTGGAGCAGACACCTGGGTCTCTCCCAGTTTCCTCTTCTTCCCTGAACAGGACAGTGCTTCTCAGTCTTGAATGAATAGACAGGTGACCTGGGCATCTTATTAAAATGCAGATTCTGATTTAGTAGGCATTGGATGTAACATGGGAGTCTGCATTTCTAGCCCATTCCTATTCATTGCTCCAGCTGCTGGTCCACACCTTGAGGAGCAAGAAGATAAGAACAGGTAGATACCCATCTCAGCAATGCATTTTACAACCTGATAGTATTAAGCAGAAGTTTCCAGTTCAGCTGGATGTTTATTCCCACTTAGAGAAGTTGCGCAGAGGTGTTAACTGCTACTATTATTTAAATGCAACTTTAGTGTTTGTCTGATTGGTAGCAAAGGAAGGTAGAATCTATACCATCTAGTTCCCATTCAAAAATTTAAGTGAAAATAGAATAATAAATCAAAATGGAATTCTTGCATAAGAAGCTGTTATCTTGGATTATGTTTTGAAAACGATCTTCAGTGATGGCTACAAACACTTGCTGTTTTCCATGTATGCATTTTGAATATTCATGGGGGAAATTGGATAGTTATTTTCTAGGTGGTGGTCCTTGCTCTTCTTTCATGAATAAAAGTTTTGATAATCAAACATAACCCTCATACAAGTTTGAGGGAGCAAATCTTCAGGATTCAGTGCTGGATGGGACATGCTGGCAGCAACATGGGTTTCAAAAAGCTCATGGAAAACTGCATTTTTCTTTTCATTCCAATTTCCCAGTAACTTTTTGAGGCTCCCTTCTATATTCCAACCATAGCTGTGGCTCCAACTTAGGTCCAGTCTTCATGTATGGTGACAGGAATATGGAGACCTTTTATCAGATTTTGTTTGAGGATCTGCATTTAAACCTCTACCACAGATTTTTACCTTTTTCACTTATTCTGTAGACAGATTCACCAAAACAGTGACTTTGTCTCCTCAATGGAAGTCAGGCAACACCAGTTATACATCTCGTGTATGTGTCAAAGCCCCCTTGGGAACTATATTTGCTGGTCACTCAATATTCCCAATCATAAGAAAAAGTATGACAGCTGCAAGATGGTTATTTTCCATACTTCTTTCTATCTATCTAATTTTATATGTGTCCTTTGAAAACATTCCTCTTTTGCAGGTTAATGAAGCTTTTACTCAAAGCATTAGTCTTTCTGCCACTGGATATTTTAGGTAAGAGTTGTTGAATACTTTTCTAAAACTATTGCCTTTTGGAAGAGAAGGCAAGCTTAGAAATGTTGCACTCAATTGCTTATGTTTTAAATATTAAGTCAAATTGTTATTACTTTATTTCATTTTCGCTAAAAAGTTTTCATTAGAGTTGTTGTTAGTTCGCATTGAGTCGGTACCAACTCATAGTGACCACATACACAACGAAACAAAACAAGAAGTATTTTTCAGCTGTTACTATCAGGACTGGAAGAGTCCTGGCGTGGCACTGTAGGTTAATGTGATGGACTTTGAACTGCAGTTAATTTGAACTGCAAGGTTGGTGGTTCAAGCTCACCAGCCACTCCTCGGAAACCCTGTATAGGGTCTCTATGAGTAGGAATTGACTTGACAGCACGTAACAGCAACAACATCATGACTGGAAAGAAGAAAAACTAGAGATGAGTTCCACAGTGTCCTACATGTAACAGTTACATGCTGTATGTGTAAATCAGTCACAAGTTTACAAATTTGATGTCAATGGGTCTGTTCATGGTGTAGACAGCTCAGAATAGAGAGATTTTGTAAAGCTTTTAATGCTGCCAGAATGCATTTAGCTCTTACGTTTTCAGTCTTTGTTTCCATCCCCTCCCAATTATTTAATATTGTTTTCTCATGTAGCCTATGGTGCTTTGGACTATTTCTTGTTCCCCAGAAACTTTGACCCACAACCTATTCTCTGAGGCCTTCTTTTCTTGCCAAATGAGAGCTTGGTTATAGAAAGTCAAACCAGAAATAACCCAAATAGCCCAAACAATATGAGTTGCTGAACAAAGTACTACATCAGACTGGGGCGGGGGGCTGTTGTCCAAATAGACAAAGGTGTTCCCACAATCCAAAACTAGCAGCCTGCTCTTACCGTGTGGGGACACATAGGCATAGCTCTTGGGCTTGTTGAAGGGTGGTTTTCCTGGTAATGTCTGTAAAGATAGGCTAGCCTCTGGAGGTGGGTTAGATCTTGCTTGAATGGGAGGCCATTCTCGATGTCAATGGTCCGTCATATGGTAAGTCATAAACTTGCATTCTTTCTTTCCTTTTCTTCCCTATTATCCTGCAATGCTGTCTCTTTTTCCTTTTTTACTTCCTGTCTGGTTGAAGAATACCTTCTTTCCATAACTAATTTTTTACCTCTCCTACAGTCTTTTCCTTTGGTGTCCCCTCTGAGGCCTTGATCCATCATTTATCTCCTTTCTCTTCATCTTTCTTGTGGTTCATTAAACTCCCTCTTCCGAATATGCTTAACTTACCATGATCCATTTTTAAAAACTAGAAAATCATGCAAAACAGTAAACAAAAATATTCTGTCACTTATGCTACCTCTCCTGAACTCAGCTGCGGTTTCATCTTTCCCCTTTCTTTTCGCACCAAACTTTTGTTCTGTTTTTGGTTAGCAGTGGTGGTGTGGTATGGTGGTAGAAGTGGTGGGTGGTTGTGATTCCCACCAGACTTTTTAAAGGAAATCTCACTTGGCCACCTCCACTTCTTGGCCACCTCCACTTACTCAGCACCCTCACTTCTTAATCTGCTGCTAAATGGATGGACACTGGACCCTACTTGACTGCATCTTCTCTCTTTAATGTCACAGGATACTTTCCGCCAAGCCGTGGTTTATATATGCTCTGTAATGAAGCCTACTGCAGACCGATATGTGAGGGGACATCAATGGCTCAGTGGTAGAAATCATTCTCACCTCCCATGCAAGGACCTGGGTTCAATTCCTGGCTTCTTGTGCACAGCCACCACCTGTCTGCCAGTGTAAGGTGGCATGTTGCTATGATGCTGAACAGGTTTTAATGGATTTCCTAAACTAAGACAGGTTAGGAAGATAGGCTTGGTTATATACATCCCAAAATCAGCCAGTCAATGCTGTATGGATCACAACAGTCCAATCCACAGCCAGTCATGGGGATAGCACAAGACTGGACATGTGTTCCATTGTGTCACCAGGAGTCACGGATTGGCTCCACAACAGCTACCAACAATGAACTTCTGCTAAATGATGGGGCTTCAGAGTCACAGATGAATTTCATCTCTGATTGGTTGGTTGGTAGGGCCTGCCTGAAAGACTTTCTGGAAATGCATTTTGAAGACAGACCTGAAGTCAGCTAGACAGAGTGATAAAATAGACTAGTGATGTCTGTCATGAGATATATTCAAAGGGATCACTGGGCCATCCCTTTTAACCTCATTTAATCTTGCCCAAACCCTGCAAGAGGAAGATTCTCATACCTCTTTGTAAATGAGGAAACGGAGACTCAAACAGTTACTGTAGCTTGTCCAAAGTCACGGATCTAGCAAGAAGAAAGCCCAAACTCAAACCTAAATCTGAAGCAAATATCCCTGCTCTCCACGTCACCACCCTGATACCTACTCTCATTTCACTGATGGAAAAACAGCTCAGTGCAATCAAGAAACAGCAGAAGAACACAGCAATCAGGATCATTGCCTTGAATTAACCCTCCTCTTCTTTTTTTTTTCTTTTGTGGTTTTTTATTGTAAAGTACTTAACTCAGTTTCAAAGTTCATGCCCCATTTCACCAAGTAACCCTTCTTTCAATAGTCTGTTTTGGTGTTCATAATCTTGTATCAAAATATGGAACTTATAATAATAGTTGATATTTGCTGAACCATGTTAATGGGCCAGGCATTTCTTAAAGTAATTCCCACATGCTGCTGTAGTTTTTGTTAG